AAATTCGCCGTAAAAGCTACGCAGAAGTGATGCTTGAAATAAATTGGATGCTGTAGTCTCACGATTATATTTTAAACTAATGTTATGAATGAATATAGAAAAAACAGTAGTCAGAGAAATTATTTATCGAAAAATTTTATTCGAAAACCCATAATTTTATCCTTAAAAGCAATTCGCGTAATACCAACTGGATCGTGGATCATTTCACGCAAGTAAAAGCAGCCGAAGACATCAAATGTCAACGTCAAAATCCATCTCAAGTGGCATAAAACATCTATGAAACAACTATAAATACTTAAATTTCCATTTAGAAAAGGAACTTCCTTGACCATTCATGTGCAAGTTGGTTTCTTTTCAGAACAGGAAAAGCGTTCCACTTTGAAGAAACCAAGGTTGAAGTCCTTAAGGGTGAAGCAGTGTTCAGCTAAAAGCTTCTTTTCTTCTTTTTCCACTAAAAGAAAACTGATCCATGATTCTTTTGAACTTTCCGGTTCCCATCTGTGTCTTAAAGCAGTGCATCCAGCCTTGCATTGAGAGGCGACACAACAAAAATCACCGCAGTATCCTTTTTCTTTTCCTAGCAAACAAGAACTACCATATGACAAATTAACGATCTTTACCATGTCCCGTAAGAAGCACCGGCAGCAGCTTGTTTTGGTATTCCGACAGCTTTAAAATTTAGAGCCTATTGAAGTTGACGACGCTCTTTTAAATACATATACAGGGCTTTTTGAAATTGTTTTGAAATTTTCCCGTTGCTACGCATTCGTATGCGAGAATTTTGCGCGAAGGAATGCATGAAGGCGCAATAATGGGCAGCGTTCATTCGCTGACGCAAGGGTAAGTACTTCATGTATGGACGCAAGACTCACGCAATGTTCTAAATCGGTCAAGAACGGGTAAAAACCCGATTTTTTAATTTATTCGTCCAGATTTCGGGACGGATTTGAACGGTTGTCGGCAGAGGCTACTTTTCGCATGCCAGCTCATACCGCGAAAATGTAGCCTCTGCTCGCAGGGTAAGAAGACTCCTGACAGCAACTGAATTTCATTTTGTACATCCAGTGGAAAAAGACAGTTAACAACATCACAAGTTGACTCAAGATTCTGTCAGCTTCAGCTGTCAAAGTAAACAGAGTAAAAAAGATTCAAGATGCCGCATAAACTCACCCGTAAAATTTTTACCAGTCAGAGCATAAAAATTGGACGTAGAGCGTGACCAACGCGTGACCGTGGTGAGCAAAGTCAAAAGCAACTGTCTTCCCTGCCTGTAATAGCTGGCTGAATTTTTGCGTCGGAGGTCAGTTTGAAATCAAAATTTTAATTGTGCAGCACATAAACACAACATATTCCTTATCAATTTTTAAAAAAAATTAAACTTTAGCCTGTGATCATTTGAAAACTAGTAACTTATCAGCGGATAACTTCAAAAAATACTTGACCTCGATGGGTCGACACCTGAGCCCGCGATACGGTCAATAGTTGTATTGCCTTGCCCGGTCTTGCCCAAACCGTAAGTAATCCACCAATTTTACGAATAATTGAAGTGTATAGGCAGATTGATGAACGCAGAATAGGGTTTGAGTCCTGCTGAAGGAAACTGTTGGTTCTTTACATTTTAATTCTGCAGGTTAATTAACTGCATTGTGTTTTATAAAATGGTATTCTCTGCTTATAACCGTAACGCCAGCCTAGTTGTCAATAACTTTTTCCCCCAAATTATAAGGTCTAAAATCGAACATGTAGTGCCAAGTAGAAGCCCATATTTTTCTCTCCAGAATAGCAAGTAATGTTGTCGAATGGAGGTCGTCGAATACCGAATAGCTAAGATTTTCATTATTGTCGAAGATGGTTGCATCATCATTATTCACGAGGTTATCACGTGCGATTCTACTTTAATGAAACAGTCTTTAACTCTGACCACTTAATTCTAAGAGTGTTATAAGTTTTTGCTTCTTAAAAGAAAAAAGCCTTTGCTGAGGCACTAGTTACAAAACTAAAGATGTCTTAATACGTTCAAGTTACTATTAATATATAGATTTAGCCAGGGCTAAAAGCGAAGCTCTCGATAATATTTATAGTTTCCTCAAACATAATGTAAAATCATGTAATGCTAAGCAAGTGGCGAAGGCAACGAGAACGGGGAAAAAACAACAATAGGTCTAATTAGCAAAAAGCAACTTTGCACGTGCAGCACACCTTTTTTTGTACATTTCTTTGCCGTTGTTTTGCACGACTACAACGTGAAACTTCCTGGTTACACGTTTTACGGACGAAATTTCGTACGTGTTCTTGTTCACTTTTTTTGTTTCATTGTCGCTCATTTTCACCCTGGTGGCCGCTAGCATTTCTCATTTTCTCACCGCCGCTACAAAATTTCATGTTATCCCTCCAACAAAAAATGTCTCCTCTGTTTTTTCTATCTCGCTCTAGCTCTTTTTCTCGTTGAGCTTCGCTGGCCTGTCACCTTACTTTCTCTCTTTCTCTCTTTCTTTTTCTCTATTTCCCAAATTTGTGGACATGACAATTAATCTAAACCAGTAACTCATAAGGGGTTGAAACGTGTAACTCGCGTTCAATGCTCGTGAATATTCACTTTTACCATATTTGGAAACCTTAGTGACAGATATCCATTTTCAACACAATGGCTGCCGCGCGATCACCATGCAGATGTTTTAAGACAAGAGTTCTGCAATTCAGGCTTAAAAATACACCGTTAAAAGACAAAAAATAGAAAGAGAAAGTTCAAAAGAATGCTCAGCTTTCTTTTTGTGGAGGAAGGGAAGCTTTCCATCAAGAAATCGTCCTTCGAGGAATTCAACCTTGTTTTCTTCACGACGGATCTCTGGTCTGTTTTGAAATGCAACCAAGGCAGTGAAGTTTTTGCTGAATTTCCAGGTACATTTTGACCCCTATGGCCAAGGCAATTACGTTTTTGAAAGGGAATTTATCCATTTTTAAATGTTTCATAGACGTTTTATAAATTTTTCTCTTCGGCGCTAAAGGAAAATTACAAAATGTGCCCCGATTTGAGATGGATTTTGTGTTGAATTTTGCCACGTGCTCAGCCGATTTCACTTGCGTGAACGGATCCACGATCGAGATAGTGTTTTCCGAATTGCTTTAAAGGATTAACTTTTTGGATTTTGAATAAAAATTTTCAAGAAACGGCTTCTCTGTCTATTGTTTTGAGTTTGTTCATTCATAAAATTAGCTCAAAACACGATCATGACTACAACATCCAAGCTGAATTTAAGCTTAAATGCTTCTCACATTCATTACACGCATAACTTTTTGCGAAGATGTCAGGTTCAGGTTTTGGACACTTTTCGATACGCAGCTAATCAATTTTATTCGAAAATATTTTTTTCAGTTTATTCTAGACTTATAATGTAAGTTTTCAACGTTTGAAAGCTTTCTCGGCTTTCGCGAGTTTTTCCCCCGTTTGTCGGCCATTTTTTTTAAGCGGGCGCGGGAACCTGAAGTAAAAGTACGTCACGTTGTTTACGAAGTTTCATTGGTCAGTTATCTTTTCTTCTTGTTCCAAATATGGTACTTTCGAAAATGAATAATCACGAGCATCGGACAAAGCAAACATATGAAAGTTACACGTTTCAACCCCTTATGGGTTTCTGTCTAAACTCAATTCAATAGATACAAAAACATTTTCCGCTTTCCGTTTCCGTCTTTATTGTCTTTGCTTCACAAGACGCGAGTGGCCATACTCTTTCCCGCCACAATAACCTGACATTTGGTATCGGCTTACATGAGGTGGGTGTATGGACGGTCAGCGTTCGTACGCTACGTCATAACCAAATTTTCTTGCTTTCATAGGTGACCGCCGCTGACCAGTATCAATTGACCGTATCGCGCCTCGCACAGAAGACTGGTAATCAGTAATTGGTGCGTTTCGATCCGTCTATTGACAAACGCCACTGAATCGTAGCCAACAGTTACCAGCGCCGTACAAACGACTTATTGACGAGATCAAGCAAAACTAACTACGAGAGAATGACAATTTGACTAACAATAGACGACTGTTTATCTGTGACAATAGACGGATCGAAACGCACCAATTACTGATTACCAGTCTTCATAGCCAATAACATCACGGCTTAACTGACAGACGACCAATAACATCACGACGTAATTGACCAATCAGATCAATAACCAGAGTATAATACCATCAACTGACGTGATACAACTCACTTTGACTCTGAAGATGACTACCGCACAGGTTGTTGAAACGTCAGTCACTGTCAACAACAACAGTCCTATTCAGGACTACGTTCACCCGGACGATCAAACTCAACCTACTTTTGATTAAATATAATGTTTCCAAACACCTGTAGCCGTAATGAAAGACGAAAAAATTGTGAAAAATCATGATGGCGGTCTCAAAGTGCCCTTGTTCGACCTTTAGCAATGTCATGTTTAAGTAGATGCCAAGATCTCATTGGTTCCTAAGCATCAACTCATAGTACCTTCAACCTTATTGGCTCTTGCAATAAACATCCGAACATACAAAGATACAAAGATAAAAAGCCACAAAGATACATACGCTCACACCACTGACATATGAGCTATTTTTTCAAAATAGCTCAGCAAGTCTAAGGTCTATATATCGATGTTCATAAACAAGCTATTTACAAGCATAAAATATGATACCTAGGCCCTTGTAGTTTCCATAAGCAACTGTATGGCAACTGTCTGTTACAATGTAGCGCTTATCACCATAAGATAAAAGGCTGGTTTTGATTAAAGTAAGAGAATAAATTTGATGGTTCTCGCTTCGAATTTGATTCATTTCATTTATGTTTTTCGAAGAGACAAGATTCATAATCTTGATGCCAAAGTTTCCTCCTAGCGACGTTCTCGGAAACAGCTTTTGCTGTTTTCTTTCCCACAGGTGAGTTTTCTTCAGTGAATAAAACGGAGTGCATCTTGGGTCGAAGACCGATAAATTCCTCAATAGCTACCCCATGGGTCTCGTCTTTCATTTTTTCCAGCACTTTTTTGTTTCTTTCACTATGCAGGAAATTTTCTCGCGGGTATTCTGACGTGTCAAAGTATTCCAGGTCTTGTAGGAAATCGCGATACAAATCATCGGTCTTCACATCATAACAAAGGCTGTCGGTGTTGGTAAACAACAATTTCGACCGCGATCCGTACTTTGAGACGATCTAGTTGTAACGGAAATCATGCATGAGCACTTGAGACAGGTTAAGAAACGAAAATGGAACGATTGAGGTACAACTTATCTTTTTCATATTGAAAGCAGCAAGCTTTTTTAGAGAAAATGCGGAAAGAATGAAAGGCTGATGCAAAGTTGATATGTAGGCTTCTACGTGGCACTACATGGTTGATTTTAGACCTCAGAATTTGAAAAAAAAAGTTGTTGACAACTTGCAGTTTAGGCTGGCGCGTAATGTTATAAAACTGGCGAATTACTTACGGTTTGGGCAAGACCGGGCAAGGTAATACAACCTATTATTTTCAATTATAAAGTCATAACCCAGGTTCCATTAAGTATTGACCTATTTTTATCGATGATGTCAATCCAACGGTGGATCCACGCGGTCCAACCTGATCCACCCGACTTGGAACCGCTATTTTGTATACTACTTACCTCCGCTGTCTTTCTCATACTGGTGGGAGACACTTTGAGATCTACAAGACCTACAAGATCATCAGCTGTATCTAATTTGAATCACAGTGAGTCAGTAAAGTGACAGATTTAAATCAACTAAACCAAAAGGTTAGGCTAGTCTTTACTTCATTTATTATAAAGCAAGAGCTCGGTTACAGTAAGTTCAGGACAAAAAGGAGGGGCACTTAAAATATTTACTTCGAGGCCCGCAAAGGAAGGGTACATTTTGATTTGACGGCCCTCATCCCATGTAGAGAGAGAACCGCCTAACCTACTTTCAGGGTTTGTAAATTTGTCTGACCCAGCCATGTCAGTTTGACTCCATCACTGAAAGGTTTCATACTTGGGATCACTTTATATTATTTAGCTGAAGTACCTAATGCGTCTCACTGGGAAAACCGCTATGTAATCAAAATGGCGATCATAGAAGGAAACAGGGGCAGAACTGAAACATCTTTTTTACGAAACGTTTTGAAAATTGCTAGACTCCAGATAGGAGTTTTTGAGATTCATGGATCTTTAAGGAAATATGTGAAATCTAGCGAATTTTCATTTGCAAGCACTTTAAGTTGGAATTTAAGCAAAGGCGAAGGCCTCAGTACTACTGACTTGCAGGAATGTATCCGGCCTTTGTACTTAAATAAACCTTGCTTTCTGTATTACGGATCACGGATAAGCTGAAGAACGTTTGGAAAAGAAAAAAGGATTTTGATCTGGCCGTGAAAGTCACACGTTTTTCTACAACCAGGGAAAAGGCAGAAAATGATGTTTTTACCAATACCATTATTTACCTTCACTGAAAGAATAGCAATAGTAGTTTAAATATGATCACTTATACCTTTTTTTGCCTCTTATCTCATGGAAGTAGTGCTTACCTTTTTTGTCGGTCATCCCTTTTGTGACAGCACAAGATGAGCCACTCGCACAACCAACTTTTGTGCAAGCACAGATCTATAAAAAAATTCATAACAATTACAAACGTTTTTTTGTTAATTAATATTAATTTTTTTCTTTGAATACTTCATCACCACTCAATAGTTAGTTTTAACCCATGTGATAAATGGCTATTTTTTTCTGTCTATTTCTCTATTATTACATGAGAAAAGAGTTTAGTACACCAACATGCCCGCGGTTTAATTGTTTTATACACTATGGCCGGGGTGACGTCGTTTAAGTTCTGATGCCTTTCAAAGAAAATAAAAAATCTCTGCAGACACCACCTTTGTAAAATAACACCACCTCCTTGTTAAAGTTACTAAAGCCCTTCTAGCCCTCTTCATGAATAATTTAATTAAGCTTTTCCTTTGCAGGTCAAGCAAGAACCATCAGCACCCAAAAACCTTTAAAAAGCGCTTTGTAAAAGCAGAGCTTCAGTTCCGAGTACCCTAGCCCAGGTCAGGCGCCAGCAAACTTGTTAACAGTTGCAAATTTCTTAAATGAACTTACGGTCATAATTCAGGACTAGTCAGAACGACTTTGAATGTAATGCCATCCAGATATAGGATACTCAGCCCAAGACTGTGTGAGCGGAGACTAATGGTAGAGAACTATAGTTTATCATTAAAAGGAGATGGTTGGGCCGCGTAAAGAAGTGTGAGAAACAAACATCGAAAAGTCCGATCACGCCATTGGGAAGAAAAACTGAACTTATTCCTCGCGAAGCGCCGAGCCGCGAGGTTTATAATCTCGTCGCCCGCGAAGCGTGCGTGTATCACCCGAGCATGGGAAGGCCAGCGTGATTTTCAATCTATCGAGTTTGGTTGGTGTCCGCCTTGACGTCATCCAGAGTAGTGAGGTCAAAGTGCATTATGGGTTTCCAGGCAACCGATTGCCATCGATGACTATTCATGAAGTGAGGGGTTTTTCATCTGTAAATTATAACAATGTTTACGGTCGGTGAATCACCAGCAAACTCAACAACAGTGGGTTCAACAAGTGGCTGGAAATCCTCGCTGGGAAAGATTTACACAGGGGCCTAGCTAGGGGGGTCCTGGGGTGCCCGTGACCCCCCCTTGGTAGGCCTTTTTTTGAGCAAACAACCTACTATATTCAGGTGGTGAAAACGCCATGACAATATCTTGGTCGTAAAAGCCATTGTTGAAAACACCACTTTTTTAAAATTTGTTTTGTTGTAAAGTATTTTCGTCAACAGCTCTTCAGAAATCAATTATACTTGGAAGTACGGCGCTATTATGCTGACTCGGGCGACTATGTGCTCCCTCTCGTCGCCATATTTGGTATATATCAGCCGCTAGGGGCCTACCACAGGGACGACACTGGGGCCCTTTTGAAAAATCCTGGCTACGCCCCTGTCACAGCAGTGGATTCAACAAGTGGCTGGAAATACTCGCTGGGAAAATCCAGTTTCAAGGAATCCAGGTTATAACAAAACCAGTCTTAATCTATCTAAGTAGCGTAAATCCTCTATTAAGCCCCCCTTGGGACTTATTTATTTCAAGACCATTTGAAGAGGCGGGGGGGGGGGCTTATTTAATTTAGAAGCGACGATGGTATCAGTTCTCCATAAAGAACTAGAATGCAAAGAGGAAAAGCTCAAGTACAAGAAGTTCTAGGTCATGCAGCCGAGGATCAGAATCAAATCCGATCTTCCAGTTGGTAAATAAACCATCCTGGATCAGTCCACACGAAGTTTTACAGTGGTGGTTGATTAATACAGTCTATCATTAATTAGTGAAGAATAAATAGGGGAAGGGCGGGGGGGCTTATTAACTTTCTTCCCCTAAAAAGGGGGGGCTTATTAGAGGGAGGGGAGTTATTTGAGAGGGGGAACTTATTAGAGGATTTACGGTAGGTCTTTCTTTTAAAGTACCATAAAATTCTTCAAGGTGATTTGGTCCCTCTGGGTCTGAAGCCTGCTCTTCTCTTGCCTCAAAATCGAACTTAATTCTTACGGTTTCCTTTAATGCATAAATTTAGATAAGCCTAAGAGCGGAGCTCTTTGAAATATTGCATCAACTACCTTTCTCCATAAACAAGAAGCGACCAATTAAATTCCTCTGACAAAAAAACCTGAACCCGCGACTCAGTTTAAACTTCTGAACTAGTTAGAGGACAACTTAAACAAAGTACGTGACCTCAATGGGTATTACACTTGAATCCGTGATATGGACACAAGAATAGATAAAGGACAGCGGTTGTCTAACGTATACTAGTATTACACGGATCAATCACATTATAAGAGAACGAAAGCGTTGTACTGTTATTTCAATATGGCCGCCTAATATATCGCGGTGTAACATTCAATTTCGCGTTGGTTTCAACATGATAGGATACGCAGGGAAGGATAGACTACTCACTGGGTATAAGAACTCGGCGGATTTCAAGAGAAAAAGGCGGTACTGAAAGCCCCCCTAATGGAAAAACATTCCCGTGAAAACCAAAAGAAGCCTCGTTCTATGATAGGGCTCTGTGCACGGAGCTCCACTACGACAGTACAAGCTGACAAAAGGAAAGCACGTTCAGACGAACAAACACAAGGATAAATCTACTAGTTTTATCTAAAGGATGCCCTGAACAATTGCGTTCGTTTCAGTTTAGTTAATTATACATCATTGTCAAGAAGTTGCAGAATGACACGTGCCACTCGTGCCAAGAAAAACAACTCTGGGGTTAAATGCGGGGCTTCAAAGAATACAAGGGTATTTTTTAGGAAAGAACTTTATCAACTACCCTACCTCTATTTTATAGTCTGAAAAGTGCTTCAGTTCTCTTAAAACGACACTATTTTTTGTGCCATTCACGACCAGCGTGACATTAGAGGACGGTTTAGCGATCGGTTGTGTCAGCTGTGCAGAGGTTGGTTTAGCCGTAGTGGTTGGGACATCAGAAGAGCCTGTAGTTTTTCCACCTTTAGGTACAGTCGTTACTTGGCATAATGGGTTCTAAAAAGTCAAGTTAGTCATGAGTTATGCCAAGATTAAACCTTCAAAACTATTCCAAAAAATAGGAAAAACATCCTTGTAGGAAGTAACGTGATCATCAGTAACACGGGATTACGCAGATAAAATACAAACTTATCTTAACGTGAGAAGAATATGGTCGAAATAACGAGCTGGCCGTAAGGCGGGGTTTCACTGTACTCATTTCACCTTAATCTTACACAGCTTAAGCAGGTAACATTAGACCAGTGAGATTAGAAATTGGAGACCCCAACTTCTCAAACCGGAGACCCTGGAAGTAAATACAGTAAACTGCAACTAGACTGCAAAACAGTCGGTTTTTTCTCAAAATAAGTGAAGAAATCGGTAAAGCGAGCCGTGAGGGTCGTACGCGCACGGAGCGCGCGAGCCTCACACGCCCATAGTCTCGCTCTCTGTTTTCAGCCTCGTTTCAGACCTTTTGTTTGACTGCTCGCGAATGCCCGCGCGTACTTGAATGCGCAAAAATACGGACTGTTTTTCAGTCTAACTGCAACACTAAAAGCAGTCCAAAACAATTGTTGTAGACAAAGGACACGTGGTTCAAATATTCACATTTGCCGTTTGCCGTAAACGTTACTCTAAATCTCTCTAATAATTTCTGTCCTCACCTGGGTGTCATTACTACAATTGGTTGGACTGTTCGTCGTGGAGGGAGTTGTAGAGACCACAATGGATTTGTTTGTACTTGGCTCTTTATCATCATCTTCTTTTTTAAAAATTGTCCCGTATACCTTGTCTTGGATTTCTTTTGCAAAAATCGCAGCCTGCTTTTCAGGCCTTTCCTTTTCCTCGGTTTTCTTGTCACAGTCACAAGTTATGTTTCTCTTACAAGTCCCTGTTAGTAAAATACAAGATATAACAAGAACATATGGAAAAATTGGATGAGGAAGATTCTTAACTTATCAGCATCAGTTGACGAACTGTCAACACTCTTTTAGATAGAACACACCCTTCTTCCTTCTACCTTCATACTGCTGGGATATAAAAAACAAAAAGCGCATTCTAAGATATCAGTTATGTGCACCCATGATAGAGAGGTGGGAGGACCATCCTCAGGACCTTGATCCAAAAATAATAATACAGAAGAAACAGCAGGGCTCAAACTAAAGGTCGGTCAACGGACAATGTTCGGCCAGAATGGCAACGTGACTAGCCAAAAAGTTCACTCGCCGGTCATGTTGACCGGTCTTTCATACTCTCATTCTTGAACAAACAGCCAAATCCTCACCTGTAAATCTTAGATTTTTGTCTCTTTCTAAAGATACAAATAGAAACTTACACAAGGATTAGTTAACTTTTCTTCCCAATGTTTTGACCGGTCAGAAACGAGACTTGACCGAGCAAAAATTTCAGTTTGGGTCAAAAATT